CCTGAAACTGTTGATCGGTATTATGTTTTTTAGCGCCATCTTGTAAGAACATAAAGCAAATAAATTAATAATACTTTTACTTATTTTTTAATTACCAATGGTAGAGCAGTACAAGTTTTTTGGCTTAGTTTTTCAAAGAAACTCTAATTTTAGATGGTTTGTGTTCGAAAATTGCCGCTAATATATGATAATATAAACATATATTTTACAAATACAGTATATGAAAAAAAAACTTTGTCCGTAGGGACTTCAACTAAGCCAGTTGTTTCTCACGGTCGGTTCTACGTAGATCTATTGAGAGTACGATCATTGGATCGGTTAAATATTTATGTCCATGAAGGTATAAACACTGTAAATTATGTTTACACAGAAGTTCTGTAAACCAACGTTTCCAATATGGTCCTTAGTTTTTATACCGTCGCTTGAAATAACACAACTTGATATATTTTGTTTAATTTCAACACTAGCAGAATAGTGTCGTTTGGGAAAACGGATATTTGTCAGTCCACTGTGAATTAATATAAAGATTAAAAATACAGATAGAGAAATAATTGTTAGGCCTACTAAGAACGACTTATGTATTGGGAAAACGGATATTTGTCGGTTCACTGTGAATTGATTATGGTTATCCATCTATTTTGGTGCTATACATAAAAACTAAATACCACAAACACCTGATGGAAATATGCTTTTATGAATAATCTGTTAAACAAAATATGGTAAACCAACGATAGGCTTAGTCACAATATACATACCAAAAAGATATTACTATCTACTTGACGTTAGGAAGAGTGTTGCTGTTGGTCACTGATGATTTTACAATACGTTTTATCCACAAATATATAATTATCTATCCAAGTCTTTCACATCTCACTCAATTAAACAGTGCCTCAAGTTCAACCGACATCAAAATCGTAAGTTTAAATACCCGCTATTAGGTAACGTAGCCTGACTTGTACGGACTCGTCTCAACAGACACTCCTACAACAGGCTTAGAAATACGTCACCGGACTTCGTTCCCCACGCTCCTCCCTCGCACCCACGGACCAGCCAGCCAGTCGGGTAGGGATATTTAGTAGAGCGAGCAAGTCGAGGCACGTAACACCGTGACCAGGAGCCATCATGCGAGAAAACCCATCGTTACTGGCTGCTTTCGTTGTGATAAGACAGACCATTTCGGTGTCAGATAATAATGAATTCTAAGAAAACAAAACAGACTTACTATTATTAGCATAGGGCCAAACTTAACAAAATTCCCTACAAATAACGTTTGAAGAAAAACTGCCAATATGAACTCCGGTATTTGTGAAAATACAAAAAGGAACAGTTAGGAACTTTGTAGTAAAGTAAACATACTGGTGATTCTGTGATGATCATACACAATAACAATTTTTTCGGTATTTTTTTTCTTCCTTAGGAAAAACGGACGCCATTTCCCCCCCCCCTTTCACATTACCACTGGTGCCCCCTTTTTTTCTTTTGCCAACGTTTCTTAAATTTCGTATATAATACCAGTATATCTTACATCTTTATAACTCTTCTGTTACTAATATCTAGTGTCGTGTACGCACGTTCTTACTCACTGAGTCTGTCTCGCTGTTCGTCCAGTAATATGAAAAGTAGAAGAAAAAAAAAAGGCATTAAAAACAAATTCCATAATAATGAGGCAGATAACAACTTAAAGTAATAATACCAACGTAGTAATTTATTTATTAGGCCTACGTAAAACTCGTAAACATATAATTTGTTTTTTTTTGTTTCATTTTGGAACGAATGTCATTTTGTTTTACTCTAATTTGAAATATATGTGCCATATTTTTTTCCGGAACGAGTCTGTCTTACATGTAAGGCGTTAAAACAAAATTATTTTTTAAAAAAAGCTGCTGTGTTATGCATAAGTACCCCCTTACGGGAAAACGTTGAGGGAGTTTTAAAATATTCATAAATTAAAATATTTTGGGTACACTGAATTATTAATAAGGCTTACAATATGTTCTTTGAATATTAAAGAATATATACGCTAAAACATCATACAAAAACAGAGGTGTAAACACCGTATTATTTGACTAGCTTACCCGATACTATTTGGCGAAACGTTTTTCAACGTTGTGCCTAATCTTTAATTCTCACCCGATTTTTTGTTAACTAGTAGAACGTGTCAACATTCGACAAAATATGGAGTTTAGTAATTCATAAACTTCTAACCACACCAAACTTAATATTTGGTGACTAAGAAACGATCTTTGTAAAAGTTATTTTAAGCCTAAAACCAATTTCCAGCATTGTTGATACTGAGAGTACTCACCCTATCTTCAAATGATTTAACTAATCATCATGTTTATACATTTGTTAACATAATTCTCAGAACTCGATAAAACATTGAGTTTGTAAATAAAAAAAACTTTACAAAATTACACAGCAAACCTATTAGAAACTGAAATAAAACAAAAACGTTCAAACGTGCTTACTGCACGTGCATTTTATTTAAAACATAAAAGCGCAACATTTTTATTTAGCTTAAAACCACATAAACATTAACATGAAAACTGAAGATTTAAAAAAAAGATTTAAAACTTTTTGTTAAATTCTAACAGTGCATACAGAAGTCGTTCTTAGTAGGCCTAACAATTATTTGTCTGTGTTTCTAATCTTTGTATTAATTCACAGTGGACTGACAAATATCCGTTTTCCCAATACATAATTCGTTCTTAATAGGCCTAACAATTATTTGTCTATCTGTATTTCTAATCTTTATATTAATTCACAGTGGACTGACAAATATCCGTTTTTCCAATACATAAGTCGTTCTTAATAGGCCTAACAACTATTAGTCTATCTGTATTTCTAATCTTTATATTAATTCACAATGGACCGACAAATATCCGTTTTCCCAATACATAAGTCGTTCTTAGTAGGCCTAACAATTATTTGTCTATTTGTATTTTTAATCTTTATAAAAGTAATCATATTTTGTTGGTCCTTAAACCACATATTACAAAGTAATCATATTTTGTTGGTCCTTAAACCACATATTACTGACTAACAATGTTGAGTATTATATCATATAATCAGTATTAGTAACAATTATTTATACAGATCCTAGTAGTATCATAAACAAAGCATCAAGTACCAATTCTCACTACAAAGAATAGCCATAGGAGACTGGATCCAACTGAGAGGTTACTGTACCCAGGTCAGTCTTACTGGTCTACCTTAAGGTGGGGAACTGGACCCAACTGAGAGGTTATTGTACCCAGGTCAGTCTTACTGATTTACCTTATGGTGGGGGACTGGACCCAACTGAGAGGTTATTGTACCCAGGTCAGTCTTACTGATTTACCTTATGGTGGGGGACTGGACCCAACTGAGAGGTTATTGTACCCAGGTCAGTCTTACTGATTTACCGTAATGTGTGGTTTAAGGACCAACAAAATATGATTACTTGGTAATATGTGGTTTAAGGACCAACAAAACGTTGTTACTCGGTTATAAGTGGTTTAAGGACCAACAAAACGTTATTACTCGGTTGTAAGTGGTTTAAGGACCAACAAAACGTTATTACTCGGTTGTATGTGGTTTAAGGACCAACAAAATATTATTACTTGGTAATATGTGGTTTAAGGACCAACAAAATAATATTACTTGGTAATATGTGGTTTAAGGACCAACAAAATATTATTACTTGGTAATATGTGGTTTAAGGACCA